TGTGTGTGTGTGTGTGTGTGTGTGTAAACCTCTTGTAACTTTTGAACGACTCGACCGATTTCCTCGCGGCTGGTGTCATTTGAAAGGGCTTCACTAAACTTAGATTTTCTGAAAATTTGAACCGATTCGGACCGGTAGATTTTGAGAAAATGCAAAAAAAGTGAAAAAAAAGTTGTTTTTTTTTTATTTTTTTTTGAATATCTCCGAATTGGCTGAACCGATCGGTCTCAAAAAGTAATCAGCTCTTAACCTTGAAAACCCCCATCGATCGCCACCAAAAACGTTAGAATCGGTTGATGGGTTCGTGAGATATCGTTGTCGAAAAAAATCGAAAAAAGTGTTTTTTTGTAATAACTTCGAAATTCATGGCTCGATCGATTTAAACTTAAGAATTTTTCATGGAGCTTCAGAAACTGCGTCGATTGCCGCCAACCGCGTGAAAATCGGTTCATTCATTCAAAAGTTATTGCCGTTTGAAAATTCAAAAAATTGTGTGTTTAAACTGCTATTAGAGTTTTGAGCTCGAAGAGCTCAAATTGACACAAAAACAATATTTTTGAGCTCGAAGAGCTCAAAAACGTAATGTGTAGTTTGAAGCGTTTAAGTACAAATGAGCGGGAAGTTGCAGGGATGGCCTTTAGGGTGAACCGTTTTTCTAATTTTTTTTCTTAATAGTCTTATGAACGTGGACTTAGCGCAATTTTTTACACACTGATGGAAGAAGGATTTATAAACTATTAATAATTTGATTTATTTGAAAATAATAATTTAATTTATTGAATTTTCCCTGATAGATACAGTTTCAGACCAACCAAGTTGGTGTCAGATAGTTGCCACCAACTTATTGACAACTTGCGGTCAACTTCCAAATTTGAAACTGTTGGCGTCAAGTTGGCTACAAGTTTCTGAGAAAAACAAGACCAATCTACTGCCGCAATATGTCGCCAAATTTCTCGAGAAACTTGTCGTCAACTTGGTGCGAACGAGTTTCGAAAGCAATTTCTGCCGACAACTTGGCGACAACTTGGTGAACAACCGAGTTCATTTCCAAGACTTCCCGCCAACTTGGTGACAAGTTGCTGCAGCAAATCAACGGAAAGTTGCGACCGGTTCGGCTATCAGGGTTAATAAATATTTTTTAACATTTAATAAATATTTATTTGGGAGGAAAGTACATTGATGAATAGTTAATAATTATTTATTAACAGTTAACAAATATTTATTAACAGTTAATAAGTATTTATTAAGTGGAATTTATTAACTGTTAATAAATATTTATTAATAGTTAATAAATATTTGTTAACTGTTAATAAATATTTATTAATAGTTAATAAATATTTGTTAACTGTTAACAAATATTTATTTAGAATAAAAAGCAAAAATAGCAATTTTCTTTTGACACTTTTTATAACCCTATAACTGGAATACATGATAATAATGATAATAATTCAATTCACTTAATAAATTAACGAGTTTAATATTCAAAAATATGAAAGATAATTATGAGCTGTGATAGAATTTGGTAGTTTACAATAAATGTTATTAGAATGTAATATAATTAATGCAAATAATTTATAAAGATGATTTTTGTTTATAACCAACCTTCATATCATATGACATTGCAAGCCAAACAAATTCACTCAACAAAATATTTATTAACTGTTAATAAATATTTGTTAACTATTAATAAATATTTATTAAATATTAATAAATGTACTTTTCTCCCAAATAAATATTTATTGAATGTTAAAAAATATTTATTAAAATTTAATAAATTAAATTATTATCTTCAAATAAATCAAATTACTAATAGTTAATAAATCCTTCTATCAGTGTAGAAATCTATCTGTTGTAGCCGGTTTCATGTCGTAATTGAGAAAAAATTTTGTCATTACATCGAGTAATGTAGAAAAATCGCGATGGCTCACACATTTACAAATGTATTTAAGTATATATATTAGGGTGGGCCAAAAGAATCGATTATTTTTTTTTTAACTTTATACTCTGAAAAATAGATTGGTAGACTACTCAAAAAAATTCTCTCCAAGTATGAGCTCTTAATTTTAATAGGAAAGTCCTCCGTCTCTCAGTTATTTATTTTTTTATGATTAGAGAGAAAATTTATATCCCGGTGATTACCAATTGAAAAAAAAAAAATCTCGTCTCATATCTTTGCAGGAAATTGAATTTCCTACAAAAAAGGTCTCTTACAATTTTTTTGTCAACCTCACCGTTCAAAAGTTATTGAAGGTTGAAGTTTGATTATTTTCAGACAAATTTCTTTTTTCATATGAATTTTGTAACTCGTTAAAAAAAAAATTATTATGATATGCGCACCTC